GAGGCGAGTGCGGAGTAATTAACGAGCTTGGACTTAACGCGCCGCGCCGATCGGGGCCGCGCGGTAATTAGCGTGGGATGAAGGCGCTTGGAATCCCTCCGGCTGCCTGCCGCCCCCTCGCCGCCCCCGTCTTCCTGCTCCTATCTCCCCGTCCCTCCCGGCGCCGCCAGCGGCCCGAGCCTCGTTTCGCGAACCCTGTCCTGTGCGCGCCTGGGCGCGGTGACTCCTCGTCAGTGCCGCTCGGCTACCTGCACTTTGCCCCAGCGGTCCGCAACGGCTGCACGGGAGGTCCTCCGTGTCTTTGTTTGCGGCGGTGCTCGTCTTGCGGTGCACGAATCTCCTCGCCCTCGACGGAGCCAGGTTTCGCAGCATCGTGAGTTGGTGGTGTCGTATTACATTTGGAGTTTTGAATTAATATGGGCAACAACAAAAAAGATTCTACCTTTGGAGCGTTACGTATGTTCGTCGTTTTTCAAGCGCCTCTCTCTCTCTCTCTGTCGGCAGGCAGATGGGAAGGTGCTGCCCCCTAGCGTGAATTGAGGTCACGTTAAGAGATTTCGGAAGTAGTTCTGCGAAAGCTCCTTCTGTGGGTCGTCTTCTGAAACGGGGCGAGAGTTTCCACACGAATCCCCCCAACCCGGCCCATCCGTCTCGTAACGTGACGCCGATGTCACGGTTTGGAAAACATTGCCAAAAGAGGAAAACAGCATGTATAAACGTGATCTAAATGACAAGGTTTCAAGCCACTCAACGCAATTACCTGCGCGCATTTAAGGTTAAACGGAATTGTAGCTGAGTGGTGCTCGGCAGAGATTACCCAGTGAGAACCAAAGTATCTCAATCGTGCACACTGTGCACCGTCCGCGCTTCCAAGTGAACGCGGGTAAATACCACAGCCGAGAGCCCGAGCGATGATGATGATGTGATGATGAAGCAGACAGTTCCGGGCCAGGCAAGCCCAGGACTACAAACCGGGATGCGGTCTAGAGCCCGAATAAGAGACGGCGGTGGCGATGCAACGGGCGTTGAGGCGTTTTGGTTACAGAAAAAAAGAAAGAAAGAATCTTTGGCGCGGATCGCAGCGCCGTCAAAATTCGCCGCTGAACACACGAAAAAGATATCTGAGGTCTCGCGTCCAACGACGTCCAAAGGTGGAGGGGAGAGAACGAATGAAGGAGAGAGATGCCGAGGGTCGTGGGGGGGGGCGTTCAGCTCCGGCAGAAGCGGTGGGGGGGGGGGGGGGGGTGTGTGGGGGTGGATGTTTGATGGAGGAAACCGAGGCGGGGAAATTAACGGCGAGCACATGGGAACAATCACATGGGGGTCACGGGGCAAGTTGTGCGGCAAACCGAAGTCGTGCTAGTTAAGCCGAAGCTACGTAATTTGCATGGCACAAAGCGCCCAGTGCGCTAATGGGCTGTGCATGGCACCTGAAAGGAAAGCACCTTTAACCCATTAACCGAGAATCCTCTCAATTATGGGGGAGGAATTAAATTCTAACGCCGCCCCCCTCCCCCCCCCCCTCCCTCGCTCTGCATCCTTGCAGCGCCGGGGCGAATTTTTTTTTGTTGGCGTGTTCCAGCACCGCGCAGCACACGTTTGCCATCGTGCACGAGACCTCTTGAGGGGTTTAATCAATCAGAGCGACGAAATCGACTCGGGATACCAGGCGAGAAGGACGCGTCTTTCTTCTTCTTCTTGTTGTTGTTACGCTTTGCGAGCGAGACGACCTGTGGCGTGAAATAGAGCGCGGAGGCGACGAGCCGCTATAGCGGGACGACGCGCAATTAAATGACAAAACAACAACAACAACAAAACGCGGAGCGAGTTGTTATTTCAACCCCGGCAAAGTGAAAGAGCGGGCACGGTCGCTATGCCGGCTCGTGAGATCCTTCAGTTCTCCGTAGAGGGGGCCTCGTTTTTTTCTCTCTCCCGATCTCGGGATGCCCCGCAGCAGCGGGTGGCAGGGGTGGGGGATTGGAGGGAGAGGCTCGTGCGGAGCGAGGGTTGGGGCTGCCCGCCCGCCCGTCCGCCCGCCCGTCCGCCCGTCCGCGCGCCTCTCATAAAACAAATTTGTTCTCGCTGTGCGCACGCCGACGCCGCCGTTGTTGCCGGCGCTCGAGTGGGGAATCGTAAACACGTGGCGCGGTTGACGTCGGGCTGAGTATAAACGGGAAAGACGGCGATGCTTGGGTTATTTTTTTATGCCCCCACCCCCCCCCCCAACCACCCCCAACCACCACCACCACCGCAGCACCGTAAAGTTTTTTATTTTTTATCACCGGACACGGTGGAGGGGTGGATAGAGGGCTAAACTATGCGGGATTAAGAGTCGCGAACGCGTTTTAATTGACGGCGTCTTGGCATGCGGGGGTAGCGACTGCTGGGGGGGGTGTGGGGGTGTGGGGGTGCACGGGAATGTAGCGTGGGCGACCGGCCGGTCGGGACAGCTGGGGACTGCCAGGTGCTCACGGCCGCGGGAAAGGATCGCTCGGGGCGGCGGGGGGGCGGGGGGGGGCGTGCGAGCTGAGAGCCCTGGACCCGACGCGAGCGAGCGAGCGGGGAAGGGGACGAGGGGGAGCTCGCGTCTCCGCAGAAACCGTTTCCGTGGTGACAGCAGCCCAGCAGCCTGCGTAGGATGTCCCTCGCCCCGAGGCACTGCCCCCCCCCCTCCACCACCACCACCATATCACCCCCCCCCCTCGCTGCGTAGCCCCAAACACAGAAGCACGGACGCGCAGACACCCCAGACTGGCTGATTAACGGCCGTCAAGCCCGCGGAATCGCTGAGCCTCGGTGGGGAGCTCTAATGAGCTCGTGTATAATTCATGCCGAATGCGGCCGACGCTGCCTGCCCGTCTGTTTCTGCCTCCCACTTGCCCAGCCCTGCTCCATCCCCTCGATGCTTCGGCTCCCCCAAATCCACCCACCCCACACCGCTATCGCCCCGGCAGAATTTATTATTTTTTTTTGCTCAGCGCTTGCGGTCCCAAACACACTTATTCTTCCCGTTTGATTTCTTTCTTGTGTGTGTGTATATATACTTTCACTCGGTTTTTTTTTATTTCTGCCCGCTCTCTTCTGCCGCTGCCTCCACGTGGTTTTTTTTTTGGTCGAAAACGTTTCCATGAATCCGTAATCCCCGGCTCATGAGCCTAGTGCCCCACGGGCCGTTCACTCGGCTTAAAACCCCGGCCACGGCAGCGCATGCGGGCGAGTGAGCGAGTGCGGGCGAGAGAGCACGGGTGAGCGAGTGCGGGCGAGTGTGGGCGAGAGTCGCGAAGCAAAAATGCCAAGCGGGCGGCAAAGTGAAGATGCAGACATTCCTGCGAAGGAAAAAGACGTGGAAAAAGCCACCCCCTCCCCCGCCACCCACCACGTCCAAAAGAAGAAGAAGAATAATAATACAACATGCTCATGCATTTGGTTTGCTTGCCGCGTGTTCTCGGAAGCAAAGCGCCGGGGCCGCGAAATCGATTTAATGACAGCGAAGCCTTCACCAGCGAGCCCGGCAGCTACGGGAGCGAGCGACCCACCCCACGGTGCACGGGCTCAAGAAAAGCGCCCCCCCCACCCCCCGCACCCTCCTCCCACCCTCTCCTTCCCAACGCAGCGCCCTCTACCATCCATTCCCCTGCCCCTTGCGCCCGCCCCTCCTCGGCAAGCTCACACCCACGCACGCGCGATCCACACCCGGCCAAGACCACCGCCGCCACCGTCCCCACAACTCCCACACGCGGCGTCCATGCGAGGTTGTTTTGTTGTTTTTTTTTATGCGTCGCGCAAAACCAAAACTGCCGCTCGAATCGCCGGAGTGAGTGGCGGAGGGGGTAGGGGGGGGGGTGCTGCGGTGGTCATCGCCGTTCCGTCGTTCATGTAGACGGAGCAGACGGCGCGGCCGCTGACAAAAACCCCATTAGACTCGCCCGGAGCTTGGAACCCGCGCGAGCGCCACCCCCGACGGGGTGGCGCTCCTCTGGCCCCGGCAAATTTGAGAGTGATTTCCAATCCCACGGCCTGAATTGACATTGGCAACGGCGGTGGGGAGCGCTTCGCTATCGAGGGCAGGAGGTTTACTTGACGATTTTAATGCCCAATGAGATAACGTGCTTCTCTTGTAACAGCACAATTAGGATGCACGTTAGTAGCCGTCTGCTTTTCCTCTTCATGCATGAAGGAGGGGATAAACGCGCAGCCCCGCAATTACTCGCTCACGATACTCCTGACGCAAAATGCCCCCCCCAAAAAGGGGACGCTCTGGAGAGCCCCTCCGGAGGATATTTTGGTCTCCTCTTCCGCACTGGCCTTTGGAAGAGGCCGCCATATATAATGTAGTTGTTATAGCTTTTTTTGTGTGTGTGTGTGAATGTAAAATTAGTTGATGTTCTTAGGGAAAATAATTGGTATGAAAAGTTAATGAAAAATGAATAAGGCCATTTGTTGTTAAGCCAGATGAGGTCCCATTCAGAATAAATCGTCTCTATTATTTGTCACAAAGGGAGAGGGATAACATGGACCGAAGATGTCCGTGTTCACGGTAGCTTCGTGGTCCAATGAATACCAATCACTGGAATGTGTGGTTACCTCCTTGCTCTTGCAAACTTCTTAAAAATTGGTCATTAACAAAATAACAAACGCAAATACATCAACATGGAATAATATTTCACAAAGTCTAGCACTTTGTCAAGAAGTGTACGTGAACTACAATCACATGTACGTGGCTTATGTTCGCAACTAATTAAAGTGTCTTTGATTAATTGGCGTGTTAGACACGCCACAGAGAAATCTTGCCCAATGCGTTCTCTGGAGGAAAGCGTGAGCATAGCCCCTGGTTCCCTATCCCGCGTCGGCCAATCACAACGCTTAATCCCGGTGTTTGGGAGCACGTGCGACACCGATTGCTAGTTGGACGCTCTAAGTGGTTAAACGCAAAAGGTCGTTCTCGCACACGTTTATTATTCACTTACTCCTTCGCTAAACCATTCCGCTGTCGTCCACAGGACGAGCCCATGCCTCTGGAAAGGCCGGCGCATTTGCCCCACGACCTCGTGCGAACATCGCACCAGCACCAGCACCTGCAGCAGCAGCAGCCGCCCCCTTCATTCCCGCCGCCCCCACCGCCTGCCCCGATGCCGCTGGCTTTTGCGGGGGACGCGCCGCCGTACGTCAACGGGAGCATGCGCTACGCTCACCACGGCTTCGGCGGGCTGGGCGGGGGGATCCAGCACCCGGCGCTGTCCGCTCACCACAACCCCCCGGCACCGCCCCCGCCGCCTGCCCTGCACCTCGCCAACATCAGCAACGGTGAGGCCTCCTCCTCCTCCTCCGCCGCCGCCACCGCCACCACCGCCTCCACAGCGTGGCGCTGAGAAGCGCCGCCGTGTGGGCCCGGTGTCAATCACCGCGCGCCCCGCCGATACTCCACGCGTGCTGCGTCTCACAAGCACATTCCACTTGCATCGTCACAGGCCAGCCACCCTCAACCACTACCCCCCCCCCCCCCCCCCATTGTTGCCGACCTTCACCAAAACCCTTACCGCACTCACCCCACTATCCATATTACAGGTACAGACCTCTTTGTCAATCCACTGCTGGATGAAGGCATCCTCACGCCGTGCCTCACCACGCCGGTCATTGTGGTATTGTCGGTGCTACGAGTGGTTGGTGAACTTGGTGACCAGAGTTCAGCCGCTGTGCCAGCAGTGCGTCGCGTCTGTGCGCTCACACGGCGGCGAGCCATCGTTCACCACCATCCACATCCCCCGCTCACGCACCCAGCGCGTTCGAACACGTGTCGACAATTAACTCCCTCAATTATCCTGACAATGTAGTAGTCACGCCGACGCTTCGCCTGGCCGCGATATTCCGTCAACGCGCCGCTCGTGTGCCGCGTGATCGATAGGGCACAGTGGACAGTGCTAAGCCACCTTCAAGCCCCCCCCCCCCCCCCGTGGCTTTGCGATGCTTCCACCTACCTCCCAGCTGGACAGCGCCATTCATTAATTTTTTTGGATTATTTGGCGATACTGCGCTGGCGGTGTGTGCACAATAACTCCCAACAGAGTCATTCATTCACGGAAACCCCATGCACAGAAGCGGAGGAGGATGTTTCCTAGACACGAGGGGCGCATTGGTGGCTCAATCATCGAATAAAATTGATTCGTACCTTTACGTTACGAGCGCCGAAACGTGTGGATAGGAATAATTTATTTTTTGATTAACAAACTGACACACGAGTTCACTTGACGCTTGCTACGCCACTAGAGGCCGCGTAAACGAGTGATTAAACGAGACCAAAAGAATATCCATCCTTCAACAATATCACGACCTCAAAATCATGACAGTTGCTTTCACCAAGAAGTATACAAGTTCTCCAAACAAGCCGTTCTCTTTAACTATATTTTCTGGCCAATGACGTAATCAAATGAGCGTGTCGACAGGCGTCACGTGTCGTACAGACGTTACGATGTCATGAGGGGTCGTGATGTCATAAGATCTCATCAATAGAGTGCACCCGCTGGCCTACAGCCCTCATTTCCAGCTCTTTATTTCGCTTTCATCTCACTGACCTGCATCTCTCACGTCTCGATAAACCACTCCCAAGAGCCTTTGTGGGGCCACACGGGCCACCAGCAGAACCCTGCCCTAACCCGCGTGGCCGTGTATCTGCGCAACCCCTTCTCCTACCACCACGCCATCCCCCTCCTCCTCCCGTCGAAACAGGCCCCACCGACCTCAGCATGAAGAAACCCCCCAGCACCCGCAGCAACAGCAGCGGTAGCAACAGCAGCTCGGGTAGCAGCAGCCCCAGCCCCCAGGGCCAGGTGCAGGCCGGAGGCGCGGGGCCCACGTGCTGCAAGGCGAGCGGCGGGGGAGCCGGAGGCGGGGCCGGCGGGTGCCCGGCGCAGCTCAGCCCCACGGAGGTGGGCGCCGTGCGTCAGCTCATCTCGGGGTACCGCGAGTCCGCCGCCTTCCTGCTCCGGTCGGCCGACGAGCTCGAGAATCTCATCCTGCAACACAACTGAGCGAGCTGAGCGAGCGGTGCGACGGCCCCGTCTGGGGTGCGCCGCGGGGCGAGTCATTCCCGTGTCCGCCCATCCTGGCGGGCGTAGCTCCGGAGTGCACAGGCGGTGCAACTGCGACGTCGATCAACTGGGCCAGACCGGGCCCCCCCCCCCCACCCCCCAAGCGCCAAGTTACGTAGAGGAGGGAATTTGGACAGGGGGCGGTCATTTCAATCTTCGCACGGGGGCCTGTGCCAACAACGCTAAGGCAATGAGCTACTGCATGGCAATTAGTCACACTGGCGACACGTCATCATGTTAATGATGATCATTATCATCGTTATGAACATCATCATCATCATCACCACGTGGATTTGTCCCTTGATTATGTCCATCTGCTCATCTGATGTGCCCACGCGCCTGTTGAATGTTCACCTCACCAACAGGAAACCAATGTTCATCAACAATTGATTCACGTGACAATCCATCTATCAGATGTTACAACTAATGATGCATCCTCCTAATCAATCTTATAATTCCGTAATCAATTCATCCAACCACCTGACTACAAATCCATTTGACATTCATCCATCAATCCATAAATCAACTTCACAACGCCTGTGCCATTTGCCTGTCAAAATTCCCATGCAACTCATCAGCCCGAGTCAAAATGGATTTGTTAGAACTGAATTCTGAGTGTATGGTTTACAGCTGCATAGAAGAAAACATCTTAAAACAAAATGGCCCAATGACTTGAACATTTTTATTTTGTCGTAATGTTCAAAGTGATTAATGTAATCAATGCAAAAAAAGAAAACATTCTTTATGGATTACCAGTTTGGTAAATGGGTCCTATTTATACCTTCCATTCAAAGAAAGCCAGCCATCCATCCAAGCCAACCAGCTGTGGAAAACAAACCAAGATGGCATTTGAAAGCGTGCGTAATTAAGAATGCTCTACAAAAATTGAGAACTGCTTGGAAAGCGTCGGAAATACTGCCAACAAACCTGGAATCTTCGCACGAAGCCCTTGGCCTGCTATTTTAACACAGCATCACGGTCATGCCTGCCACTCGCACAAGTCACGGCGTACGTGCAGCATTTTCCACCCCCCCCCTCCCGCCGCAGCGACTCGTTACAACTGTAGATCTTCTTAGACAATCACAACCACGCTAAATTGGGACATTCGCCAAGACGGGGGGAGGGGGGGGGCAACGCGCTGATTACAAAAAAAAATCAGCCACTGAAGAGAAAACCAACTTGCCTGAGAAATACACAATAGAATCACAATATTTTCTTAAAATTTGCTAATTTTAAACGACATTTTGTGAACGCTTCATCGAAGAGTAAGGCAGCACTTCTTTATGTGAACAGTGCTACGGACTGGAAGCAGAGGGGATTACGGACTCATCGCTTGGACCAAGCCCCGAGGAGGGTTGGACCGCACACCTGCAAGTGGGGGGAAATGGGGGCAGGATTGACTGCGTATCAAACACACAACAGTCCTCTGTGCAATAGGTTGGACAATCATTCCGTAAAAAGAAAAAAATCACCAAATTTAAAACTCGTCTTACAAATTGCCCGCGTGCGAACCGCGAGGCAGCAGCGGCGGCGGCCCAGGCTTGTAACGCGCAAAGGTTTTTATCCGAATTACGTTTCTCCCCTTTGCCAGCAGAAAGGACCAAGGCTTTTACAGCAACAACAACAAAAACCAAGGGGCTCCCCAAACGTTCACGTGACTGCGAATATTTTCCAACATCGCAACTGTCATGCCGCTGTTCGCTCAAAGATGTGTTGTATGTCGGAGGGGTTAAAAGGGGGTAGCGTAAAATGAAGAAAAATATTACCGCAGTGCACAATCAAAACGATTTCATTGCAGGTCTACACGCGGATTTTGTGCGGCTCTGTTTAAGCTGAAGGCAACCAAACTAGTGCATGTGCAATATTACAGGTAGTTTTAACGTCATGGGGACATACATCGGCAAGGCAGTGGAACCAAGAAATAGGGCCAAGGTGCAAATCCTCATACAACAGGAGAAAGCTAAGCGATGGCGAGGAGTTGAGGGAACAAGATGGGAATAACCAGGCACTGCAACGCTTGTAATGATGAACGGAGCTGGGCACAAGCCACTCAGAAAGCCCCCTCCCCCCCCCCCCCCCGAGTTCCGTAATTGAGAGTTGTTCTACGCGCTACGGTGCGTGAAGCCATCGCAACCCAAATGTCCCCCTTGAGAAGTCGTTGCTGCTTTACAATGTTATAAGTTTACAATTATAGCGTGTACAGGTTTGAAGAAAGAGGGGAAGGAAAAAAAGCGTGGGCGACAATATTGGCCCTTGGTATCTATAAGTTTACTGAAAGAAAATCGTTGGCTTTTGTATGATATAAAAACACTTTAAATATACCCATTGTAAAATAAAACAAGAGGAATGAAAGTTTTTGTACAATGCGCAGGTTGCGATGAAATGGCTGTGAAGTTTAATGATTCCAAAACAGGGATATCGAGTGACGTACATCCCAAAGGTTGAACAAAGCCTCCCAGGTCGAACACCAGAGTGTTGGACAGCAGTGTAACAGCATGGTCAATTTTGCATACAAGACTCCCCGTTTTGTTTCATTTTCATGGTGAATGTGGCACTATTGCTTTTTAATGCCCTTAAATGTGTGATTATTTGTACATGGACAGCCTTATGTATATTTGATAAATATATATTAATATCGAAGGGTTTTATTTTATTTATTTCTACGATTTTGGGATGTGAAAAACTTGGCTTGTAAAACAAACGATGGGTCACATCAGCCAGCCCTGCCGGCCACATTAAACTGCCACGTCACGCCCAAAAACGGCATTTAAAATACATCCACACCAGTGCTACGTAACAAAACCCGACAAATGAAAGCAAGTGGACCTAATATCTTCTTTGGTTCTTTCGGTAAAGTCACGTAGAATGAGAATAAAATAATAAATTGATAAAATAAAATAACACAATATTCTCACGACGTTTCGGCCACAACACAAGCGGCCTTGTGTTATTTTATTTTATCAATGTATTATTTTATTCTCATTCTACATGACTTTACCGAAAGAACCAAAGAAGATGAATCCTTGCAGTCACGAAAGCTTTAAATCGAAATTGGACCTAATATCTCTTGCATTACAGCTGGCAATGTCTCGAGTAATATTGCCAGGTAGAATGGAGGAGTGTTATGGAGTTAATGCCCAGACTTCCCCCCTCCCCCCAAGGGTTCCCAAGGCATGACCAAATAGAAGTATCAACACAGAGTTCTGACAGGGAGTTACAATGGGCCATCAGTAACCTTTTACCCAGAGGACCAATATTTAACTTAGGAACACCAACTGTTCACGGAACTAAGCCTTCATTGAAAGCACAAGATTTTTGAAAGAAAGCTGTATTTAACAGTGAGTGCGTAAATATGTACACGTCAAAAGTTGGACTCATTACCATGCCGGTTCTCATAAGCTGTACATGCAAATACTGGGAAGATTTTTAAACGTGCAGAAGAATGAGTCTCTGCTCCAAACAACCAAAACCACAACTTTGGTCTGCCTACTGCGGCGATATTGGAACAAAATACAAACTCTCAACATCATTGTAACGTTAGTGTGCACGGCGTGGCATTCAGATTGCATTTCACTTCATTACCAATTTGCTACTATTCTACAAACTGGCAGCCAATTCAACAATTTAAGTGCTAGAGAGTCCTTGAGTTAGTCATAAAAATAATCCAAACTACAATACTGTCTTTCGATAGAAAACGAGCTGCGATAATGCAAGGTTTTATTTGTATCAACGTTACTCTTGTGCAATGTGTTTAAGTAAAAAGCTGGTAACTGTCCAACTCTTTAGACTGCGAGTGACCCAAAGCATGTGCCCCGTCAAGACGCTTATTGTTTATATATGGACTGTGTGTGCGTTTAATTTGTTTTACAAGTGAAAAAAAGAATATTTCCATTGCTATACTACCGCAGAGCCCGACTGCTTTGCCGCTTTGCTAGAATTTATTTGCATTCTATTAAGTATTTAAACGAAGGTTACATGACTGTTTTGAATCGCATAAGTCGGCGGTGTGTATGATAATGGTTGTTTGGATTTTTTGTATATTTGCAAGCTGTGCTGGGATGTATTGCGCACACGCAATCATAGTTGTTCGCCTACAGATACTAGTGCATTTGATAGATGTTCAATATAAATTTTTGTACATTGTACCGCGGTTGCTTTTTCCTTGGTGTAAACCTAAATGAAATTTGAATAAACATCTTTTGTCCGGCATAGCAGGCACAGGTGTGATAAGGCTATTGAGAATCGGGTCAAGCTACGTCAGTGCAAGACCCCATGCCATTCAGTTATTTTGTGTGAAATGTCCTTAATATTCGACGTTCAAATGGCTACATGTTGAACACCATTTCACAGAGTGGTGCATACATCCTCATTACTGTGCCTATGGATAAATGCATGGTGTTTACATCTAAAAAGCCAAAAATAAGTGTCCAGACTCCCATGGAAATGTACTTCTTTACCACAATACCGATATATTTAGGCACGTTATTAATCTAATTCTGCATATATTTTCACAACGCATATATATGTGTTTTGTGCATACTGCAAGATAGCCTATTTAAATGTTTATTCCTTACACGCAAGTACTATTTAAGAGGATGTGATTTGTGTTCATAGTGCACCCATCAACCAATAGTGTGTTCACCAAGCACAGGCCTGCTGGACGAAGAAACAACGTGAAATGATGCTGCTATGCTATGCAGGAACACCAATGCAACTTTAAGATTTACTCATTCAAGTTACAGTGAGGGAAAAAAGTATTTGATCCCCTGCTGATTTTGTACGTTTGCCCACTGACACAGAAATTATCAGTCTAAAATTTTAATGGTAGGTTTATTTGAACAGTGAGAGACAGAATAACAACAAAAATCCAGAAAAACGCATGTTATAAATTGATTTGCATTTTAATGAGGGAAATAAGTATTTGACCCCTCTGCAAAACATGACTTAGTACTTGGTGGCAAAACCTTTGTTGGCAATCACAGAGGTCAGACGTTTCTTGTAGTTGGCCACCAGGTTTGCACACATCTCAGGAGGGATTTTGTCCCACTCCTCTTTGCAGATCTTCTCCAAGTCATTAAGGTTTCGAGGCTGACGTTTGGCAACTCGAACCTTCAGCTCCCCCCACAGATTTTCTATGGGATTAAGGGCTGGAGACTGGCTAGGTCACTCCAGGAACTTAATGTGCTTCTTCTTGAACCACTCCTTTGTTGCCTTGGCCGTGCGTTTTGGGTCATTGTCATGCTGGAATACCCATCCACGACCCATTTTCAATGCCCTGGCTGAGGGAAGGAGATTCTCGCCCAAGATTTGACGGTACATGGCCCCGTCCATCGTCCCTTTGATGCGGTGAAGTTATCCTGTCCCCTTAGCAGAAAAACATCCCCAAAGCATAATGTTTCCACCTCCATTATTGACGGTGGGGATGGTGTTCTTGGGGTCATAGGCAGCATTCCTCCTCCTTCAAACACGGCGAGTTGAGTTGATGCTAAAGAGCTCCATTCTGGTCTCATCTGGCCACAACACTTTCACCCAGTTGTCCTCTGAATCATTCAGATGTTCATTGGCAAACTTCAGACGGGCATGTATATGCGCTTTCTTGAGCAGGGGGACCTTGCGGGCGCTGCAGGATTGCAGTCCTTCACGGCGTAGTGTGTTACCAATTGTTTTCTTGGTGACTATGGACCCAGCTGCCTTGAGATCATTGACAAGATCCTCCCGTGTAGTTTGGGCTGATTCCTCACCGTTCTCATGATCATTGCAACTCCACGAGGTGAGATCTTGCATGGAGCCCCAGGCCGAGGGAGATTGACAGTTCTTTTGTTTCTTCCATTTACGAATAATCGCACCAACTGTTGTCACCTTCTCACCAAGCTGCTTGGCAATGGTCTTGTAGCCCATTCCAGCCTTGTGGAGGTCTACAATCTTGTCCCTGACATCCTTGGAGAGCTGTTTGGTCTTGGCCATAGTGGAGAGTTTGGAATCTGATTGATTGCTTCTGTGGACAGGTGCCTTTTATACAGGTAACAAGCTGAGATTAGGAGCACTCCCTTTAAGAGTGTGCTCCTAATCTCAGCTCGTTACCTGTATAAAAGACACCTGGGAGCCAGAAATCTTTCTGATTGAGAGGGGGTCAAATACTTATTTCCCTCATTAAAATGCAAATCAATTTATAACATTTTTGACATGCGTTTTTCTGGATTTTTGTTGTTATTCTGTCTCTCACTGTTCAAATAAACCTACCATTAAAATTATAGACTGATCATTTCTTTGTCAGTGGGCAAACGTACAACATCAGCAGGGGATAAAATACTTTTTTCTCTCACTGTACAACTGAAAGACATGATTTTGACACCACCAGTACTGGTATACATTACATATATTAATGTCATTGGTCATATCACCTCTGATGAAATGCAGACCATATTATACATGCATATACATGCTTGTACAATCTCAAGATACTGCACAAGGTAACAAAATGCACATTATTCATAACTGATTTGGGTTGGGCCATGTGACGATCAGACTCAATCTTGTGTCATTGGGACCCCCCCCCCCCACGACCCAACACAGCCAAATAGATTGTCGTGGCTGCAAGCGTTTAACGTGCCAATTGAGTCACCTCGATAAGTTGAAGAAATACCCGAGCAACCAAACTTAGCAATTACATAGGACTTTTAATTTGAAACTGCATAAGACATCTTCAGGACAAGATCTATAACAATCAAGGAACTCAGTTGACTCGAACCCCCTTAAAGATTAATCGGTACGTTAAACACTTGGACACTTAATTTGTATGGCTGTGCCCAGTGCTGGGGGGTTCCTAACGACACAGATTTGGTTAGATCATGTTGCAGCCAAACCCAAATATCTATTCGGAATCACATTGGCTATGAACACCTTCCTTGGCGAGTTAAATATACACGTAAACGATACAGGAAAATAAAATTAAAAGATGTTGGCAAATGGGAGTGATGGCACAACACTAATAATGAACGGACTTCACGTGTAAATATCTTGTAATGGATGTGAATACATGATCGATCTTACGATGCAACAATCCATCCAACACCGTCAGTATTGTACATGTGTTGGATTGATCGTTGCATCGCGAGAGTCGAGAGGTGGCAGTTAACGGGGAGGGCTTCGTCCAGCAGTGGATTGATCAGCTGATCATTTATTGGGTGGAATTGTCTCCACGTACAAGAAAAAAGGATTTGCAACTTGTTTTCCTTGAGACTATGACAGTGTTTATTACCTTAAACTTCCTTTTAGTCTTATTCACCACACGAGAGATGTACATAAACTATCGTAATACCATTCACCGGGCCTCTCCTGGAACAGATAAAAGTCGTACGGTCATCTGTGGTTATCGATGCACAACACCAATCGATAAAGCACTCTCCAATGAGTGCTCCAACTGAGAGCCTGAGTTAGCTGGGGAAGTGCATTGCAACCACTTCAAGTGTTCACGTTTACCGACTAAAGGCTTCCACGCAGCGCGGCAGGACAGCCAATTTTCAGAACTGATTGTAACGAGGCCGCTTTCAAAGCACGGCAGAGCCACGTGAATACAAACGCACATGTGGACATGCCGCACGCAGACTTCCATCCACCCCATACTCGTGGGATCTTGCCAATGCAAACGATTTGCAACAAAACCACCCCCCCCCCCCCCAATAAACATGTCGCAAATTGCAATTCAAAGCCGCGAAACCCCATACTGAGACGCAACCTCGACAGAGAAGTGACGCCGGCAATTGCACGCGCAACCTCAATGCCACTGATTGCTCTCCGTGGCGCGCTGTTCCCCCCGCCTCGCCCTGCATCCCTGAACAATGCATCAACAGCTGATTTAGCGCCACCTTTTGAAATGTACAGTATTACTGCAAGAGGAATGCAAAATAATGTCAATTTGTGTTGATCACGCCATTGCCGAGCAAACTCTTAAAATGATATTTGGTCTACTCTTCCACGTTGAACAAACGTGTTGGAAGAGACGGGCGGACACCCAACTTTTCATTACACGCGACCTGACGATTGACTGCGACAGAGGGAGGAAGATTTGAGAAACTTGCATCGTTTCAGCTGCCGTGCCGGAAGATAAAATCGAACCGACACCCTCTGGATTGTCTCGTGCTAACCATCACAACTTGGCAGCTCTGTCAATGTACCATCACAACTTAAACGTTCACTGCGCTTAGTAAATTGAAATGTAGAATTTCTAAAGCACAAGCATGGTCCACAACATGAAGAATTAAAGATTAAGCAAAAAAAATCAATACCAGATAATCCTACCCAATCCAGCCTGTAATTGAAATACTGTTTCTTGAATGGCGTGTTGGAAAAGGGTATACATTCAATTGATAAAAAAATATTGTATTTATACATCGCGATTATTTGGCCATATTAAAGTGACCTAATGATGTAATTGTGAAGTGGTAAATCTAGCAATGTCAAGCAGCAGAATCAATTTGTTTATTAAACTAGTCACACATCTTGTCAAATTACATTCCGAGACCTGGCCTCTCAAAGATAGCACCTTTGCACATTATATATTAGGTTATTCGCATTCTACTGTAGCGAAAACTACATTTCCCGATGAGGGCCTTACACCTTTGTGGGTCGATGGTTATTTGACGACACTTCGCCAAGCTGGTAAGCGTTACGTCTGAGAGCATCCAAGTACAAAACAATTGATTTTGCTGCTCTGCCCTCTACTGTCCATCATGAAGCCTGGCAACACGAAGAACAATCTCCCTGCTCCACATTAGAGGACTTATATTCTTAGTTTTTTCGGTAAAGTCACGTTGAAGGGAAACAACTAAATTATAAAATATATATAAAACAATAAAAAATTATCACGACGTTTCGACCATACTTTTTCCCTGAAGACGACCGTTTGTGTTATGGTCGAAACGTCGTGAGAATTTTTTTATTGTTTTATATATATTTTATTATTTTGTTGTTTCCCTTCAACGTGACTTTACCGAAAAAACTAAGAATATGAATTACTGCAGTCACGAAAGCTTTAAATCAAAATTAGAGGACTTGTTAAAACCCCATTACGTATGGTGGTCACTTATCCATGCACCGTACTTCATGAGGAAATATTATTTTACTGGCTATTAACTGTACTTATAGACAACTGTGCAGCATCGTGACAGATATGTTAGGCTGGAAAGTAATTTGGGAAGCTGTCACGTTTCAGCTGCTAAAAACATTGCCAGAGAAGTGGGACGTTTCACTCCACCGTCTCCTCAATCATGCCCTCATGAACAAATTAGGCATGTTACTTAAACTTAATGTAATATTACAGACTTGAAATGTTACTTTTATTCACATGTTAAGGTTGTCCCAATACAGGTATTCCCCGGTTTACAAAAGGGGCGCGGTGTTCTTCAAAAAGAACACGCGTCACGCAATTTCGTTAATCGAAAATCTTTTCCCATTAATTTAATAAAAAAAAAATTTGGGATGTTTAGGCCAGTCATTCCAACTCTACCCCTAAAGTATAAAAATACACCTATACAACTTTTTTACAATACAAAACTAATAATGAATAAATATTAGACGGATTGAATCATAATTAATTCTAAACCAACAATTAACCTTTTTGGGGCAATCGCCAAAAGATGGACATGTTGGAATGCCTGGAAAGGTGATGTGAGGCTGTAGCAGATGAATGACACAAGTTGCCCCGGGCCGCTCTTGTTTGATGCCATGTGAAAGTTCGTTCACGTGGAAATTAGATTTCGCGAATCAAAAGTGTACATAATTTGCCAATTGCGTTCACGTGAAATTTCGTAAACCCAATGTTCATAAATCGAAGGATACCTGTACTTTTATATTAACAGGTTTTAAAAAACACTTGAAAGAGAAACGTATGTTAAACAATATTACTTTTTTTCTAAATAAATATTTTGACATCATGGAACTTCCTTTTAACTTGTCCAAGACATCCAAGTGAGATGGCCGGTGACTTGGAAGATAAAACACCGAGCTGGCACCGTTGAGAGGGTTGATGGTTTCAATCCAGTTACCAACGCCTAACACAAATTGCCTATATCTGGCTAAATTTCAGCTGTGAGAAATACAAAAATATATCGGTTTGATGGTAATGTGCATCTCATAGCAGACTTCTCACCTACTGTGTAATGTGTAAAAGGCCACTCGATGCATTTTTCAGAAGTCCTGTGAAAAATAACTTCCATGGGATATTGTCAGACACTGGGCACACTACTCTATGAGATTTACGAACCGAGCCTTCATCTCATCATATTGCACCAATCACATACTTTGTAACACATTGGGGGGGTGGGGGGGGAATAGCTTTTTTCTTTCAAAACAAATAGGTTTAAATTTAAGAGGCTTGTCTAATTTCTCAAATGAATTTTGGCTCACATCACACCAAAGTAGGAACCTTTACAAAAGCATTGTTTCCTTGAACCTCTTCTGAGAAGGCACCTCAACAAACACACCTGAATCTCTACACTTCTTGCCAGCCAACCGAGGCTCTGCAGATTCCAGAAGATCTTTGTGGCCAGGCGCTCAAGAACTACCTTGCACACTGTGTGCACGGCCGGCACACTCTTGAATGTATGCGAAGGCAAGGGGCATGAGTGAGGGTGTGCGCGCCAGGAGGGTTAGAATCTGCAGGGGCTTCCATCAGGCGTGCAGGTAATCGTTGCCTCTATTGCATCGGCTCGTCTGCATGGCTTCTCGCTCGCAATGGCGAATTGGCTATCTCCCGCAAAACTATCTGGTCCCCTTCAACACTCTTACAGCTGGCTCGGTGGCCGTGTTGTAAACGATTGGGAGGCGTCGGCAGCAGAGTCGATGGAAAGTGGAAGGGAATGTTCTCAGAGCGCCAAGGCGCTGTGTGTGCAGCCACGCCACAGCCTGACAGCCCGCTGTCCGAGAGATGCCCAGGCTCCAAGTGCATTCTTTTAGACTCCGGAGATACTGGAACATCCTCGGTCTGTGCAGTGGATGCACCTTGAAGCTGAAAATTGAAAAACAACTGAGCAATGCGACTATTGGAAACAAACATTCCACATCTTTTAAGGTATTTAAAAGCATCGTAACATGAAATGGCACGACTCTTAAGAAGAATCGACGACTACATTGCCACTTTTACCTTGACAAGGGCGAGCCTGACAGAAGGCAAGGGCAGGAGGCTGTTCTGAGGGAGCTCCGGTTCATCTCCCAGCAGGGGGTAATTTGGGTACAGACGCTTGCGTGAGGTTGCAGACAAACACATCCAATCGATGGAGTTCCTCTTCGAGTGAGGCAGAGGGAGAGCAGACTTTGCGGCTTGCTTTGGTGTCAGGGCAGAACTCTGCGAGAGTGGGGTCGGGGTCATGGGCTCGCTGTGCGTTTTCACTCTTTGTTCTTCAACATCGCCAGATATGCCTTTCGTTGGGCTTTCATCAAAACCTTTTTCCGCGGTTCCCTTGCACACCAACAGCTCGCGTGTGATCTTGGGAAAGTTTAAATTCCCATTCAGATGCTTCTTTGCTACAATACGTCCATTTTCACCTCCCTTTTTTGGAAATGCATTGTGCAATATTGCATCCACTTCAATTGCTGATCTGGTTGCGCTCTGTCGCTTTCTGCGTGTGAATTTTGTAGGAAACTTTTTTGTACGTTGCTTCCTGCCATTTTTTTGCATTTTCAAGTCACAATTTGCTTTGGATTGAGTATTCGATTCATCACAGAGAACAGTGCTTTGACCTTCTCGCGCATTTGACAACTTGTTAACGTTGTAAATTGTGGACACTTCAGAAAAAACTTGAACAGGGAGGCGAAAAATTGTAACCTGAAAACAGAGAGCATATTTGCGTATATATTACAATTGTGCGGTATGAAAGTTTTGTTTTTGGAAACGTATTTTTTCATATTGACCGTGTAAAACAACACAAAACTTAAATTACAACAAAGACCTCATGAAATATTGACCGAGAAGTTTTAACATGAAAAAAACATCAATTCCGCGCAAAAATGTAATTCGGGGTAAAAATTACGGAATGCAGAATCGATAACTTTTTCCTCATCTTCCGTATCTAATCATGCACTAGTCAGAAATGGCTGGAGCGTGCTTACTCACAGTGACAGGTCTGATGTTAACAGATGACTCGGGTTCATTTGAGCTCACAGACAGGCAGGCGGCAGTCTTCCATCGCTTGCCACGATGCCTCACAGGCAGCGCTCGCTTTGCTGGCCGAGAGGGCGCTGGCGAGGTGGAGCTTTCCTCCTCGCACAAACTTCTGGCAGCTGCCTTCAACGCTTTTTTACTTGTCAACGGACTTTTTTCTTTCGACGACGGGCGTTGCGGTTTTGAGTTTTTCCGCATTCCCGACGAAGAAATCTCTCCCAGCTTTTCTCTCCAATCCTCAAGTTCTTCAGACTGCTCGGTAACTTGTAAAGGAATGTGGGGACCACCTGCTGTGGCGCGAGACGTGTGCGCGCGAGTCGTGTGAGAGCGAGACGTGTGTGCGTGAGACGTGTCTGTGCGAGACGTGTGTGAGCGAGACGTCTGTGTGCGAGACGTGTGTGCGCGAGACGTGTCTATATGCATGCTCTTCACAAGTCGTGCCATCTCATTCCTTTTTACATTATTAGAGGACCTTTCGTGGAGGCAACCATTCTTTATTGGCTGGATTTCCTTTCTCCACTTGCCACTGCCCACCACTTTCAGTGGCAGACAATTTTCCAACCTCACAGTGCAAGGTGGTAGGCTCAACACTGAACCCTTACAGTTTCCAGAAACTGTACGATTGTGCTGGGTGCCGAGGACCTTCTTCACTTCGTCTCTAACGACTGAAAAAGCACCTCTCGTACCTGATTTACACCGAGAGGTAGATAGTGCATCTCCACTGACAAACTCTCCAATGCTGTAAAACAGACACGAGAACAAAAACTGAAGGGTTTTTTTTGTCTTTTTCAGCAAATAATCATATCAATTTAAAATGCATAATTTTGCTTGTAAAATACTCGTGAAAAGTATGTTGCACGAATCTAGAAATGTATAGATGCTCTTCCAAAATGTCCCACTTTCTAAGATTTACTCAATTTGTGCAACACACTGTTACTACGCATTGCTCAACAATGCACACACTACAACTACAAACATCCGCGACCGATAATTATATTTATAAACTATGTTTTGTTTATAATAAAAAAAAGTTTCTCAATTATTCCAATTAAAGCTGCTCAGGTATAACAGAAATCACAACTCTACGATTCCTGTGTTTAACAGCGAGTTCCGATCTATGAATCAATCAATGCATTCAAAGCATGTTACTCTCCTTTTCCCAACACTGACCACCAGCGCTACTACATGCAACTAATGAGGTACTAAAGCTTTTCCATAATGGTGAGATAAACGCACTTGCTCTGCAGCGAGTCCTGAGCATGTGGCTCATGTACAGACAAGCGCGCCTTCTTCGCCGGTCCATTCCGTATGCACTGCCGCGGATTCGACTCTTCTCCTGTGAACAGGTAACAATCAAATGTGGTAATTACAAGGACAAAGAAACACGAAAAGGATATTTTAATAATGCAACTGAAAGAAAACCAAAGACTACAGGGGCTTAAAAGGCCCTTTTATCCGAATAGGAAGACAAAAAAAACAAGAAAACAGGGAGCAAGCAATTTTTTGTGTATGTTGTTAGCAAACCTATATTTAACTTGCAAATTAAGATTTTTTTTTTCTCATAAGACAATTAACCTGCTCAAAAATAAAATTAATTGAAGACTACAGTAAAAAAAACAACGACGATACATTGCAGTCACAGAGTTAGCTTTGACTGAGATATAGATATTTATATGTAAGTACATATTATGAGATTAATGAAATGACTGGAAAAAAATACAAAATACCTTGTAAACAACATACCCTTCTCTAATGGAACAAGTTAGAAAATATCCAAACTCCCATGTCCAAGACAAATGTACGTTACAAAAACACTAAGTTAGAATGCCAAACTTGATGTGAAGCTTTCGTGACTGCAAGAATTACTCTTTGGTTCTTTCGGTAAAGTCACCTAGAAAGGAAATAAATAGAGCACGACGTTCCGATTGCAACACAAGCAACCGTCATCAGGTAGAATTTCATTTGAGAGACAAAACACAGACACGGAGACAGACAGACACACAAGCAGAGGAGACACAACACAAAGACACACAGAGAGAGACGCACACAACATCGACACACAGAGACCCAATGCCTCTGTGTCGAGGCCTTAAATAGAGAGAGAGAGGGGGGGGGGGTTAGGCAGAGAGAGAGGTGGGTAATGCTGAGGCAGCTGCTGGAGCAGCTGCTGGAGCAGCTGCTGGAGCAGAGAAATTAGCATGTCAATGAATCCACCCCGAATCGACCGAGGGAAAGAAGATCGAATGGCTCTATGAGAGCCTGGTACATTTTAGAGAGAGAAATAGTTTGAGAAAACATAATTTAGGGCCATTCCATCTTCTTTCCCTCGGTCGCTTCGGGATGGATTCATTGACATGCTAATTTCTCTGCTCCAGCAGCAGCCTCAGCATACCAACCTCTCTCTCTGCCTAATCACCCTCCCCTCTCACTCTCTATTTAAGGCCTCGACACAGAGGCATTGGGTCTCTGCGTGTCTATGTTGTGTGTCTCTCTCTGTGTGTCTTTGTGTTGTGTCTCTCTGCTCGTGTCTGTGTTTTGTCTGTCTCTCAAATTTAGTTCTACCTGATGACGATTGCTTGTGCTGCAATCGAAACGTCGTACTCTATTATTTAATGTATTTCCTCTCTACGTGACTTTACCGAAAGAACCAAAGAGGAATTCCTGCAGTCACGAAAGCTTCAAATCAAGTTTGAACCACCTCTACGGGGAGGATGTAAGTTGTTTCCTCTCTCTCTCTCTCTGTGTATCTCCGTTTGTCAAATTTCACAATTAACTTCAAATTTAGCCATCTTTGGAGATCGTAATCAACCAGGCTATGCGTTAACTGTGTGTTAGCCGACCATCTGTGTTGCATTGCATTACATTTCCCCAAAAAAATCTAAGTTTGTTTTCTCAAACGGCCTATTTCTCTCTCTAAAATTGACAAGGTTCTCATAGGTCCATTCGCTCTCTCTCTCCCCCGGCCGCTTCGGGGTGGATTTCCACACATCTCTCTGTGTGTCACTGTCAAATTTCACACTTAACTTCTAATTTTAGCAATCTTTGGAGATCGTAATCAACCAGGCTATGCGTTAACTGTGTGTTAGCCGACTCTCTGTGTTGCATTACATTACATTCCTAAAAGATTTGCTAATTTTTTATTTTCTCAAACTATTTCTCTCTCTAAAATTTACCAGGCTATCATAGGGCCCATCTTCTTTGGTTCTTTCGGTAAAGTCACGTAGAATGAGAATAAAATAATAAAATAAAACAATAAAATTCTCACGACGTTTCGGCCACAACACAAGTGGCCTTCTTCAGGTGAAAGGAACAAACCTGTCGGGACGACAGAGCTACAATTAACGCTGCTAAGATTCGCAGCGTCTTTTAAGCTGGTTGAGAGAAGTGAGGCACCTTGACAAAGGGGTATACATATCAAACAGGAGAATTTAGCATTGAAATAACTGAAGGATTAGCTTGTGACTGGTCATAGAAATAGCTATGTTAAAGTCAAAGCCTACACATCCACAGAGGAACCTCGTACATGGACGCCAAAGGGGCTGCAACAACTCACCTATCATACAGTAAACCGATGTGAAAAAAAAGAGGTGCCTCTGTAGGCTTTTCCGTGACCAGTCACAAGCTAATCCCTCAACTGCTAAACTCTCCTGTTTGATATGTAAACCCCTTTGTCAAGGTACCTCACTTCTCTCAACCAGCTTAAAAGACGCTGCGAATCTGAGCAGCGTTAATTGTAGCTCTGTCGTCCTGACAGGTTTGTTCCTTTCACCTGAAGAAGGCCACTTGTGTTGTGGCCGAAACGTTGTGAGAATTTTATTGTTTTATTTTATTATTTTATTCTCATTCTACGTGACTTTACCGAACGAACCAAAGAAGATGAATCCTTGCAGTCACGAAAGCTTTAAATCGAAATTCATCATAGGGCCATTCGATCTTCTTTCCCTCGGTCGCTTCGGGGTGGATTCATTGACATGCTAATTTCTCTGCTCCAGCAGCAGCCTCAGCAGACAAACCTCTCTCTCTGCCTAACCACCCTCCCCTCTCACTCTCTATTTAAGGCCTCGACACAGAGGCATTGGGTCTCTGTGTGTCGATGTTGTGTGCCTCTCTCTGTGTGTCTGTGTTGCCTCTCTCTGCTCGTGTGTCTGTCTGTGTGTCTCCGTGTCTGTGTTTTGTCTCTCTAAAATTTAGTTATACCTGATGATGATTGCTTGTGTTGCAATCGAAACGTCGTACTCCATTATTACATTTATTTTCTTTCTATTCGACTTTACCGAAAGAACTAGAATGCCAATTCTACTGCACAACTTACGGTTATTTGAAAACTATCATATTCTAGGGTGTACAGGCACAGTTGAGTCACACCAAAAAGATCACCGAATTTCTTGAGAGACTAAATCAACCGCTCATGAATAGTGAAGCGAGGAGTCGTCGTCATGCTCTCAAGTTCTAGAGTTTACCGTTTCCTTACCCTCTGCCAGACGTTCTTGCCAGTCCAGTGCCGCATACGAGAAAAACTCATTGCATAGAGCAGAACTGCCGAGCTGTAAACTCCCATCGTCCCCAAGCTGTCGGGAGGCAGCAAGAAAAAAAAAGGTACAAGCTGTGAAACAAACCGGTGGTGCGAAGCGTGCAGAAATCAACAGCCTGCAGCCATAGCAGCATGCATTATTGATTACAGTGTTGCATTGGAGAGTGCTGCTGCGTGACTTACTTCCTTGCTTAGCATTAATGCTGCAGTGGGGCTGGTGTAAACTTAGGAAAGGCATGCTTTATGGTTAACACCATACAACAGTGCTTACCACTGCAGCAGTTTTGTATTTCAGGGGGCTAACATTTGGTTTCATAAACATGTTGGGATAAAGGAAAATTATGAAATCCCTTGCAGCTATAAGGCAATGCCATGTAGCGTCCTGCACTGAACATACACCGGAATAGCTCTTTTACAAAATTACCACAAAAACAAATATGCTTTGCTAATAAACATTTAAAAGAGAAAATGTACAAAATATAACCAGTTCACTTGACACGGCTCTGAATTTCATATCGCATTGTTTGATTGCTGACAATTTCACATTTAGATGGGAAAATATTAAATTGTATATTAATATGCAGGGTAAAAGAATAGAAGCGCATATTAAGATTTAAAATTCAGAATTAATGCACCTTGCAATCTGATGAAATACCCCATCAACATCACCAGGTAAATTAATGAATTCTACACATCGTAAAGGATTTTAAAGTTATCACTGTTTCATACCTAGTATAATTACGAGACACCTAACATTTTCCTAATTTAGCCAAGATGCATGCACACAATAGTGTACCTTTATGATGTCACCGAGACAATACATTTTAAATGAAAATCCTGGCTTCAAAATCTATCAAATATGAAGGGGGCAATTCAGATGTAAACATTTTTCGAATTCTCTCTCTCAACATTATGCCAAGATCAGACCAACTATATCCCTCCGTGTCAGATATTTTACAACCAAAAGAGCGTCACAAACTATGGGAAGTATCACATCAGGTATTTTCAAGCAAGTCGACAGATTCTAGTCTTGTTACACTCGTACTCTTTGGTTCTTTCGGCAAAGTCACGTAGGTATAAAATAAAATAAATTAAATCACGACGCTTCGACAAGCAATCATCATCAGTCTGGGAAAACCACAGCAAGAAAAACGTTTTTTTTGCTGAAGTGGGAGACAGATGCCAGAGTAAGAGGTTATATAGATAAGAGAGGGGGGGGACGCTAGGAGAGGGACCGTGAAGCTGGACGGGGGGAAGTCGGCGGGGCTGGAAGTGGGAGGCTAAGAGAGAGCTGGGGATGCGCGGGGAGAAGATGCAACAACAACGCCACTGCAGCAACAATGCCAATGAAGCCAACAATGACAATGCAGCAGCAATGCCCAAACGCTGGGGATGCAATAAACTCGACATAATAGACTAGTGCCTGGCAAATATGATGGAACAACCATAAACAGTTAAGGTTTTACCTGGTTAATAACATCCTTCCAATGATTGCTCAATTTGTATCCATCTTCTCGGTTGAAGTTATGTCTATGTTTATATATCTGGATGGCTTCATGAACAAACTTTTGATAGTAGCCCGAAGGTTTACAGAGTACCTTGGTCTCGGAAAAAACAATATCATGAGAGCCCACAGCGTTATAACAATGGTCAGCTACTGCAGACGTATTGGTTGCTGTGGTTTCCCCACCTGATGATGATTGCTTGTGTTGCAATCGAAACGTCGTGATTTTATTTATTTTATTTTATTCCTACGTGACTTTACCGAAAGAACCCAAGAGTATGGATCCCTGCAGTCACGAAAACGTCAAATCTTGTTACACTCGTTAATAGTTGTAATATTGTACACACCTGACGGTCCGGTTCCGGCAGCAGCAACAGAAGACGTTGTTGGCACGCGCTCGGAAGTTTCCTAAATGATTCGTAGCTGATGAGCGAGCGAAGGTTGGCATTCTGGAGAGAAGTCACGAGGCTGTTGAACTCCGAGTCCTTGTCATCTTCTTTGCTCTGCCAGTCACGTGCCAGACTATGGCCCTCCAATTTCAAACTGGCCTTGTTTGCATTCAAACCCGGCCATAGGTTTCCAGAGGATGGATTTTTTTCTCCTGAGCTGCCCTTGTACAAACAGTAACCTGCATTCACTTCAACAATGAAAAGCAACTGTTAGATGTGGGCACATTGTGTGAGGAACTAATATTTCAATTCAGGTTTTTCTAATGTACCATTAGCAAAAGAATAAGTTACCAAGATTTTTTTATTTGATTTGAATGTAACTTGTTTTAAATTTAATGCACGGCCAAATAATGTACACATATTAGTTAAATAAATGTAAACATATAATTATTAGAAACACTTCATACTATTTATTATTGAATCCACTTGTTTAATTCGGAAAGCCTCACCGAGCCTTAGGACGCTTTTTTCAGGTGGTTGCCGTCAAGTTTTCACAATAAAGGCCCCAAATTTTGTTTTCTCTAACTATTTATCTCTCTGAAATTTACCAGACTTTCAGGGCAACGAGTGTGATATATTTTAGTTGAACATTACATCAAAACATGCACAGCCAACATTGCATAGCTATATTCTTAGTTCTTTCGGTAAAGTCACGTTGATTGTTCACACTTAGTGGCTTTCAGACAGCATACATAAAAAAAAAATTTCGTCTCCCCCCTCCTCTTTTCAGAACATAGATGACTAGTCCTTCTAAATGAACTGCCAAATCGCTGCGCGTGGCGCTAACGTTTTTTCTTAAATAAATAAATACGCCGTTTAAAAATAAATAAATTTATGCAAACCGACACACCTGAAGACGACCGTTTGTGTTATGGTCGAAACGTCGTGAGAACTTTTATTGTTTTATATATATTTTATTGTTTCCCTTCAACGTGACTTTACCGAAAGAACTAAGAATATGAATTACTGCAGTCACAAAAGCTTTAAATCAAAATTGCATAGCTATGTTGCATGAAGTCATTAAAATGTTAACAATGCTGCAAGCTTTAAATGCAGCAATTTCATTTAGCTGCACCGTATTAAAAATCACTTCAAGTTCACAGGAAAAGTGCGAAATTAATGTTATCCCAATACTATTCCACTTTCAGTACGGCACTGCAAAGCACATTTCCAGACCGCAAAGGGGCAATGTATAATGAGCACCTTACCTGCATTTAAATCAAGTCTGTGCAGAACCACAGAGAGCCCACGAGTGGTCTCCTTGGACCCGCCTGCTGCTTCTTGTCCAACACGGGGGCTGTTCGATTTGAGGCCGCGAGAATCGGCAATTGGCAACTTGGGGCTGCGTGATTTGGCACCGAGTGATTTAGGGCAGAAATTTGCAGTGGGCAGGGTGGAGAGCTCGGGAGAGGAACACTTGGGCTGTTGTTGACCCCGCCTGGTCTCCGGTGCAGTAGGTTGACGCGCCGGGGATTTGAGCGGTGACAGCAACCGCTGCTGTCCACTGCTGTCGCAGAAAGTTCCAAGCAGCACCACGGCCTGTGGCATCTTCACATCTGACGGAGAGAAACTCATTTTTCATGCTCTATTCTTTTTTTAAATCTACCATTGTGACATTCATCACCTGCTGCTGCTGATGAGACTGAATGGCAATCTCCGATGCACATCATACAAACTCTACACTTTAGGAAACAGCATGTCAACCAAAAAAAATCTCAAATCACTCCGCACATTTATTAATGCTTATATTTCGTTTAGTAAATCAATAACAGACAACAGGTTCACCCCATATCCTTGTTTGCATAATTTCCCATTTATATTTTATTAGAGAACCCTACCAACATAAATCTCATTGCTCGCATATAACAACAATGTCATTAAGCAATGTTTTATGTTAGAACAGACTGCCTTTGGAAAAAAAATAGACACTTAATATTGTCGACTGCAATAGAAAAATACGTGAAAAAAATCTCATTTATATATCTGTATAATTCCAAACCATCGAGGTGTGTACACGGCAGTCTTGACAAAGCTGCAGGACTGATGAAGGCCGCACATTTTCATTTTGATGTCACTCTAAACACATTTTATGAAACGTCCCTCCTGTAATAACCTCGTGTTATACGAATATCTTTATAAACAAACATTTAAATCGACGTCACAACTTTGATCCGCTTTCCTGGTGAGGTTCAACAACGGTACAGCGGTAATGTGCTCAAATGTATCTCTCTCTCTCTGTAGGCATTTTAGCTTTCTCTCCTCTCTGAAATGGTTAAAGCTGTACAAATCTATCGGGGCAATGCAGATAGGTACACCGTGCCACAAAGAAGTGCAGTAGCCACACTCACCTGAGCCTTCCTTTTCTGCTCCACCTGTATTCAAATAACTTTGTGCTCTGGTGTCACGAGCCACCTCCCTTTGTACTGAGGCTGTCTCTTTAAATGCGTTAATCGTTCCTGCAAAACCACAACCACCATTAAAAGAGCATTCAATTAGCACACCGAGGAGAATTTAAATGCGAAGATATGTGAATATTCCGCGTTTGCGAGGGGGGGGGACACCAGCTGAGAAGATAATGAAAAGATTTGTCAAATCTCGGCATTTGAAACAAGCACAGCGGGCAATGAAAATTAACATTTGAGCGAGGGCTCAAACCGGGTCACAAAGCCTGCATCAACGCACACCCACTGTTCAGCGTGGTCCACATGTATTGACCCCCATCTAACTTTATAAAAAGGTACTATATATTTGTTTTAAAAGCAGGGGGTTATTTAAAACAGAAATGAAATATATGGGGACAATTGTGAGGGGTCCTTTAATTGTGAGGGGGGGGGGGGGGTTACAATACATCTGGACCACCCTGTACATCCATTTCCCGATCGCAGTGTTTACGAGGTACAACTATAAAGCACCAAGTAACCACGCTACTAAACAATACATTTGTCAGCACAATATAGCCTACGTATTTACCACACCGTATACACGGGACACCCGTTACGAGGACAAACAGCAACATTAAACACGGCGTCATGCGCGTGGCTGCGGAAAATTATTGCAAGAATAGCGGCGAATCTGCGCGCACTCCCCAGAAGGCCGTCGTGGCTGAGAGGATGTTGTGATACATTACTTTTGTTTTGTTAGCCGTCGTCAAAGTATAAACAGGGCATTCGAATGACTACAGTCCGCCCGTCGATATTTTCTCGACGTATTAGTCGGGCGACGAGCGCGGAGACCTCTGTGGCCTAACCCAACCTCCCCCCCCGTAGTGCACGAAGGCGAACCGAGAGAGCGAGAGGAGAGAGAAAGTTTGCGGCCGTTCACCGCCTTGTCGACATCGGGCCGCAACGAACGCAAGGACGTCGCCGAAGAAGCCTAAGGAGCTCGCGCGTCACGACGCGCCTTCGCGGGCGACGTCACGCGCGGGATAATAAACGCTCGCGCGGGGTGACGTCACGCGCGGATAATAAATACTCGCGCGGGTGACGTCACGCGCGGGATAATAAACACTGGGCGCGGGGTGACGTCACGCGCGGGATTTAATAAACACTCGCGCGGGTTGACGTCACGCGCGGGATAATAAACGCTCGCGCGGGGTGACGTCACGCGCGGAATTTAATAAAAAAACAACACGCGCGCGGGATACAAACACTCTCGCGGTGCGACGTCACACGAGGGACAAAATGCACTCGCGGGTGACGTCACGCGAGGGCGAAAACACTCGCGGGTGACGTCACTCGCGGACTAAAAAAACTCGAGGGTGACGTCACGCGCGAACTAAAAAAACACTCGCGGGTGACGTCACGCGCGGATTAAAACACTCGCGGGTGACGTCACGCGCGGACTAAAAAACACTCGCGAGTGACCTCACGCGCGGACTAAAAAAACTCGCGGGTGACGTCACAAGACGGAGAGTTTTTAGCTATAAACACCGAGGCGATGACGTCACCGCGTAGCTCGTGCGCGCGGCCCCGCCAGGCGTTGAGGTTCAAATTGCACCCCCAACGTGAACCCCGAAGCAGCACGCCGCCAAAGAAGACGAGGGCAACCCCCCGAAACCTCGCCTTTCCAGTGGAGACTAAGACCGCCGAGGCGACGTTTGTTCCAATGGTTCCAATCACACGCCAGCGTGTTTACTGGGCTAAATGTCAATTTTAAAATCTAATTTAGAGATAAATTATCAGCCCAGCCCCCCACGCAGGTAGTAGCCCCTCTCTCCCAAGGAGTGATAACACGCCCCCCCCCCCTTACGCAAAGCCTTATCAGATGATAAGTTTTTACCTGCAGAAATTCGCACCAATATTTACCGATTCACTTTTATTTTACCACTTAAGGCCCCACCGAGATCAGCAAATGCCAGCTCAACATGTGGCCTGTCATCACGCGGTCATACTTTCAAAGGCGTGGTGTTGATTCTAAATGGCGGAGATAAATACCCCCAAGATTTGAAATCCACGCGACCAAGGGGAGAAAGAAAGAGAGAGAACTTGAGACGCAAACTCCAAATATACAGCAGGTGTCACGGTCGGCATCGAGCCCACGAGCACCTCGCAAGTTAACACCTCGCCATTAGCGTCGTACAGAATGTGATTAAAATAACAGAGGTGTCCCTTCCGATGGGTTGTGTAATAAATGATTGTGTCATTTACGCGGGTGTATCCGCTATTGTCAACCGTCGATGAAAATCGATCATCATGGCGATTCAAGCGAATGAGAAGCCGTGCACGGCACACGTCTGGTGTCAATTCTAGATTTGAAGCTTTCGTGACTGCAAGGATCCATACTCTTTGGTTCTATTCGGTAAAGTGACTTTACCGAATGGAACCAAAGAGTACGTCTGGTGTGAGTTACACTCAGGCTAACAAGAGTCATGAATACGGCCGGCCAGGGCGACTCCACACAAAACGTCCAGATATAAAGCCGACGAGACGGTAGAACGCCAAAACGTCGATTCAACGACAAACCCCAATAATCGTGCCTCAGGTCACAGATCTGCTGATGGGGGGGGGGGGAGTTTGTTTACATTTACCATGCGCAGAGCAGCCAACTTCGCCAATCCTGGAGCTGTGCGGAATTCCGGTTCGGGGGGAGGTGGGGGGCTAAGATGAGGATGGGGGGGGGGGGGGTCTGAGACCAGGAAAGGCAGCGGGCAGAGATGATCTCCCAAACGAAATGCTGAGAGAGGGTGGCGTTTGTGCACAGACTGCCCTACATGACATCATAACAACAGTCTGGACCGCTGGACGGGTTCCGCAGGACTGGAAGGATGCCCTGGTGGTCCCCCTCTTTAAGAAGGGGGACCGCACAGACTGTAACAACTACAGCGGCATCTCACTCCTCAGTGTGCCGGGAAAGGTCCTGGCAAGGATTATTCAGCATCGCCTTGCCAGGCACGCTGAGGAGAGGCTTGCGGAGCCCCAATGCGGTTTCAGGAAAGGGCGGTCCGGCACAGATGCCATATTTTCTGTCCGTCTGCTACAGCAGAGGTGTAGGTAATTCCAACAAGACCTACATCTCTGCTTTATTGACCTGGTCAAGGCCTATGATACCATCAGTAGGCCTGGGCTCTGGGTTGTTCTTCGTGCTTTCGGAGTCCCTGACCCACTGCTCATGATCACCTTCATGATGGTGAGCGGGCCCGGGTAAAACTACGTGGCCGGGAGTCGGACGGAGCCATTCCCTGTTCACCTTGGGGTGTGACAGGGATGTCCTCTGGCTCCAACATTATTTAACATCTATTTCGACCACGTAGTTCGTGAAGCCTTGAGTAGCTGTGCCGGAGGAATTTCCATCTGGTACAGATACAATGGGAGGCTTATCGATGCCCGGGTGCGGTCAAGGGATAGCTCCCCATTGATCAAACACGTTATGTATGCCGATGACCTGGTAATTGCGGCTCACTCAGAGGAGGAGTTGGAGGCGCTGCTGCTAAAACTGGAGTGTGCCACTAAGAGATGGGGCCTTACCATCAGCTTCACCAAAACGAAGCACCTGCTTGGGTATTTTGTACCATCGGACACTCCACCCCCACAACTCCCAATCGGTGATGGGGCAGTTGTGGAGAGAGTGGAGAGTTTCCCATACCTGGGCAGTGTGCTCATGACCGGCTCCGGTTTAATAGCAGAGGTCTCACTCCGAATCAGTCGAGCGACATTATCTTTTCATCGGTTGCGTAACGCTGTGTGGAAGCTACCTGGTCTATCACTCCGCACGAACCTTCAGGTCTTCTTGGCCACGGTCATTCCCTCCCTTCTCTACGCTTGCGAAAGGTGGACACCCCTAATGGAACATCTTCGCCGGTTAGAAACATTTAGGCTGGCCTGCCTACGATCCATCCCGGGTTTAACCAGGCTGGATTGTGCGAGGAGCTCACAAATCCTTGAAAGATGTGGACAAAGTCCCATCGGTGAGCTCCTCCGGCAGGCAAGGCTGCGTTGGCTGGGTCATGTAGCCCGCATGCCCAGCCACCGCATGCCGAAACCGCTTTTGTTCGGCCGGAACGAGGGGGCTAAACGGGCGTGGCACGGTCTAGAGAAGAGATGGAGTGATGTGGTACAGGAGGACGTGGAGCTGAGTGGACTTGCCCATGACTGGTACCAGCGGTGTCAAGATCGGCCTCTGTGGAGGAGGCTCGTGAAGGACGCTACTGGGCAGTTGGAGGTAGTCGCCCTCCAACAACAACGGAGGGCGGAGGAGCGACGCTCACAACAACGAGCGGAGCGCCGAGTGGCTAAAGCACAGCAATTTGGCACAGTAGGGGTCACAGGTGGTACATCAGCCAGTCGTCTCAGTCAGTCGACCTGTGGCATCTGGGTCTGCTCCGTGACCTCCTGCCAGCGGGCATTTGACACTTCACGTGGCCTTAAAGTGCACATAGCCTGGCACAAGCGTCGTGGTGACGTCACCGCCACTTAGTGGCGAATGGCGGTTGTTGTGTCTGTGTGCGTCGGGTGAGTGGGGAGCGGTGGCGTAGTGGTTAGCGCTACGCTGCGCTATGAACCTGGCGACCCAGGTTCGATTCCCGCTCATGGTCAACAACGGTGACGATTATCTGAAGCGGTGCTGGGCAACCCCTAGGTCGACTCAGCCTCAAATGAGTACCTGGTGCGGTGTGTAAACATTGCCACTAGGGAGACAAAGGCGGCCCGGCGTGGTGCTGGCCACCCAACCCCTCGTGTGCCGTTCCGGCCTTCATAGGTGTTCGCTAACAGCACTTGCCCCTACAGTCCATTAAGGCTATACGGGGGATCTTTGGTGCGTGAAACTGCGAATGTCTCATTACATCACTTACAGTTCCATTAATTAATCGCTCAAACATTTCTTGGACAACTGGTAATTCTACATCTAATACAACTCATACAGTGAGCATATGGGTGAGCAGTGAGTGTCACTGTGAAGGTCTGTGTAAGGTGCGTGCAGGATGAGCGGAATGGTGAATGGGTGAGTGATGTAAATGGGTGAGTTGATGATGGTTAGACGTGAGGCTCTGGGTGAGGATTTTGGCGGAGTCTATGCTCCCCATTTTCAGCGACCCACACTGACCAGCATGGTGAAGTATGGTCAAATAGCCCCCACAAACGCCACAGCGTGGCGAGGCCCTTGTCCAACTGCACGTGATTCGTCCATAATGGAGGGGGGGGTGTGTTAGGTCGCGTAAATATATAAATGTGTCGTTAAAACCCGCCACCACCCGGCACAGCCAACTAGTAAGGGTTGTCACGTAAACAGAACGTGGCCATATTCTTAGCTCTTTCGGTAAAGTCACGTTGAAGGGAAACAATGAAATAATAAAATATATATAAAACAATAAAAAATTCTCACGACGTTTCGACCATAACACAAACGGTCGTCATCAGGTGTCATCGTTTGTGTTATGGTCGAAACGTCGTGAGATTTTTTTATTGTTATATATATTTTATTATTTTATTGTTTCCCTTCAACGTGACTTTACCGAAAGAGCTAAGAATATGAATTACTGCAGTCACGAAAGCTTTAAATCAGAACGTGGCCAATTCGTCACTAGTACAGCACACCGGTGTGTTGGAGAGCCAAGCCACAACATTGACAATCTGAGTACGACGTTTCACCAGTAATTACAACTAGCTTCATCAGGCGACAGCCAGATTTGATTCCTCCGTTATGGGTTTTGAGGAGGGGCAGGAATGGTGAGTGTAGTGGGATGAGGGTTTAGGGTGGCTGATGTGAAAACAATGTGGGGGTGATTTGGGCAGGAGATGGGGATAGTGGAGGTGAGGTGAGGCGTGACGAGTGGAGGTAAGTGTTAGGGTGGGAATCTGCTTGTATAGACGTCTGTAATAATAGGATGAGTGTGTTATGGAAGTTGGTGCTTTGCAAATTCCATGACAAATTGTATTTTGCTTGATATTAAACACCGCCTCTGCTCACAACTTTAACCAAAGTGATGCAACTGCCACTCATCATTTGGCATTGCAT